GGGGGGGGGGGGTTCACCTCAAGGAGACGGATCCGAGGGGAGGGTGTAGTCGCCCTTTGGCCCCCAGATTGTTTTGAATGAAATGAAAGATTTTCAAAGAGGAGAGCCCGTTCAGCCTCCCTACTTTAAGTCACAAGTCCCGTCCCTCCCCTCTAGATCAGGGGCGGATCCAGGATTTTTCTTAAGAGGGGGTGCACCACTAACTGACCGATGACGTAAAAAATTTTAAAAGCGAATACGAAGAAGAGGGCTTTTGACTAGGAAATAACATAATGTGAACTGCTGAGAATACATATCAAACGATACAGTAGATTTTGTATGTCTGTCAAGCGACTGCACAGTGTTAATTAGAAAGCGGCCGCAGGTCATCCCAGGGAGGGGGGGAGGGTGCGCACCCCCTGCACCCTCCCCCTGGATCCGCCCCTGTAGATCTCCCACTTGAAAAAAATGTTCCGCTGTTCCTGCAGCCGTAGGAATTACGCTTGGGACTGCAGTTAGTTTTTGATAAGAGCCTTTGTCCAAATCCTAATAATTTCCCGAGTCTAGACAATGTCGTCACTTACTTCAAGGTTCTCATTAACGGTAAAAGACAATGCAACAAGCAAACGAATCCTTTAATCGTGCACGTGATTTTGTCGTTGATCAGTTGTAAAACTTCGCTCATGATGAAGTCAAGTTTGGTTCTCATATGCCGCCTATGTATATAGCGCTACTTCCCGGACGAATGAAAAATGCGCCGCTGGCAACAACAGCCATCGTAGAGCTCTACCGCCGGCACGCCTCCCAAGTTGAACTTGAGTCAACTTAGCAGGCATTCCGGCGGTAAAGACTGGGATGACCAATGTTGCCGGCCACTTCATCCCAAGCAGTACTGGCGGCCATGTCGCAGGTGCATCGGCGGCATATGAGAACCAGGCTTGAGTGTCACTTAAAAGCACTATCCATCATGATCCTACTCCCAGGGGTGGGAGGGGGGAAGGTACTCCGGAATTCAAGTGACGGGGATGATCGATCGAATGGGGGAAACTAAATAAAAAAACACAAAAAACCCCTAGGGCATCCAACAAAACCCAAAACATTCCTAGCTGGACCAAACTTTAACCCCAAAATATCCCATGCCGAATTTCCGAGCATTAACAAGTTTGGTTGTACTTTATTCGAAGGACTACGCGGCCGCGATACGCGGGAAGTACCACGAATCCTCAGCGGATTGTTTTGAACATCCAAAAAGATCAAACTTATATCAAGCCACCAAAAAAACTTGGCAACTTTTCCTACCCCCCCCCCCCCCCCCCCCCCCCCC